CCAAAGACGAATCTCTCAAGACCAAAGTTATACGGACCAGAACTTGAAGATTTTCCTGCATATTACATCTTTGACAGTCCAGGTACTCTAATCTATTTGAACCATAATGGTGAGAAACGTATGATGTTCGTCGATGAGTTAAACAAGTACTGTGATGGGACACTGAAGGTTGTGAGAGAGAAACTGCAACCAATCAGAAAGAAGTTTGAAGAAAGACAACAAAAGTATGCAGATGCATCGGATGCCGAACTTCTAGAGTCAAATCGAATAGAGAAAGTTCTACAAGCCATCGAGAAGCAACTTGACAGAAGAAAGTGTCTCAGGAACTATGAGCATGCGCTGAACCTACGCAAAAACTACTTCAAAGCTCAGAAGTGAAGACACCCAGCAAGACGGCACTTGATCACAAAGGGGGAGATTGTTAGAACTATTTATTGTGGAACAAGTTTGTCTGTAATGTCTTGTTTAAATAAATTAGAATAGATATACCATTTATGATATTAGTTCTATTATGTAATAAATAGGAGTAAAGGAATAAGGCCCAAAAAGGCTTTAGGCCCAAACTCCTAGGTAACCTAATTTGGTAACCTGTGCAGCGCCTATAAATATGCGCGTCGTGCATAGGTACCGTAGTCTATTATTCTATTCTCTAGCCTTACGCTGTTAAAATACTTCTCGATATAATAGAAAGAGGATTTCTCTGTTCTCGATAATCTCTATATCATTCTGTTAAATCTTTCTTCTCTGTTTATCGATGATATCCATCTAGCTGAATGTTAGTCTGCATAAACTGGGACCAACACCTTGCATATCGGATTTCTAAAATTCGCGATCCGCGTTCCCGTTTTCGTACCGCGTACCGAAGCGAACCGCGATCCATGTGACTATGGATCAAAGGAAGGGTAGTAATTACAAGAGGATCATGTGAAATTCACAACTCATCTAATTTAATACAAATCATCTAAATATGGCTAGAAAATATATTACAATATGATTGGTTATTAATGAGATCATTGATGATAATTGTGATACTATAGATGTATTTTTTTAATATTTGATGAATATATTATCATTTAAGAGTCAATTATTTTCTTAAATAGAAATGCAAACCTTGAATTAGGACACCTGAAAAGACAAGTGAGAACCTTAACGGTATGTTTGGATGGGAGTTAACCTAAGTTATTAGAGGTTTAATTTTTAATTAACCTTGTTTGTTTACATTTTTACAACTACAACCTAGGTTATTGAAAAATTTGGGTTCACCTCACTTAACCTCTCAAAACCCGGAAGAAACCCAAATTGATAAACCTCCAAATTGGGGGGTTTGCTGTGTTCTCGCATAGAGCATTTTTTCCCGTTTGTTCCCATTATAACCCTTTCCAACCTTCCCATTATTTACACGTTCCATCCCCTATCAATACGTTCTATTATCGTACCTTCATTTTGCTGCCATCTTCTCCCGCCAACTTCATCATCTCAATCTGCCGCCATCAACCTCTATCAATTGGAGCTTCATTGCAACATCAGGTATTCTCTTCCCCTATTCTCCTCTTCTCTCCTCCTCCTCCTCCTCTTCTTCTTCTTCTCCTCTATTCTTCTTCCCTCCTCCTTTTACTCTTTCGTTAATCACATGGTAATTTTCATCTCTTTTCATGGGTTGTGCTACTTGAATTAAATATGGACTTCCAATAATATTGTTGATTTACTTGACTGGGATACATACTTGCTATAATATCCTTGATCTACGTATGGTTTAATGAACTTGTTGCAATCTTGTTGATTTATTTGACTGAGATTATATATGTGTGCCTTATATACAAATGTATTTGTGATGCATTTGTGATGCATACTAGGTGTTTGTTAAAATGTCTAAGTAAGACTTAATGATAATATATGTTAAATTTTATGTGTCTGCTAGTTTTGATTTGGGGTGTTTGGCTTGGACTATTTAAGTTTGTGAGATTTTGCTCTGGTGGGGAATATTTGTGGCTTCTACTCCTGTCTTGGAAGGTGCTGGCTGAATGGCTTGTTGTGTTTGGTCTTATTTTTATTACCCCGCTACTGCTTTTTCTTAGCTTGAGGAATGAGCTGACAAAAAGTATGGGAATCTTCCTGCATTATGGTGCCCATATCAGCCTCATTATTTAAACAAATTTATTTATGTTGAAAAATTTAATGTGCGTTCTTCAAACAAATAACCTCTGAAATTTTATGAACTTCGAAGGAACGTGTATTTGCAAAACAATAAGCTACGTTTCTATTTTCTTATACCATTGGGGCATTGGTTATTTGTCCTTAAAAAAAAAGCATTAACATCGTGCACTTATACATATGAAGGGTATATATGTCATTAGTGAGATAGAGCACCTCCATCAAAACAACAATATATTACATTAACTTAGGTTCACTTAATTTTTATCCAAACAACATTTTATACGTCCACCTAGGTTCACTTAGATTCACCTCATTTTTATTAAAACCTAGGTTTAATTTATTACACTAGGTTTACTTGAATCTACCTCACCCAAATAGGCCGTAAGTTGAGGAGTAGTCTCAAACCACCACTCCACCAGATGAACTTGGATTGACATATTTGCGAGAATCTACAAACCATTTTTGCTGTTAAATGTCCCACACCGGAAAAGTTTGGATGAACGAAGTGCTATATTAACACATGGGCTCCTCCTCCTAATAGGTTGACCATTTAGGATGGAACCCCTGGTCTTAACATGGTATCAGAGCCAATTCCGGTTGTGGTTTGATTGCTTGTTTAGCACCCATGATTACGGGTAGCTTGTTAAGGGTCTGTTTGGCCCACTTATACACCCCGATATTGTCCAGCCCGGTGCGGGCTGAGGGGGCGTGTTGAAGTATTTGTCCCACACCGGAAAGCTATAAAATAATAAAATACTATATAAGACTTTGGGTTACTCCTCCTATCAGGATGACCTTTTAGGATGGAACCTCAGATCTTAACATGGTATCAGAGTCAAATCAATCTATGGTGTGGGGCCCCTTATGAATCGTGATGACACGATTATAAAAAAATGATGATTACGGCCGGATAAAAAAAATGGACCGATAAAAAAATTAATGATGACACGATCCAGATGAAGTGTCTGGTCGTGAAGAGGGGTGTTAAATGTCCCACACCGGAAAGATTTGGATGAACAAAGTGCTATATTAACACATTGGCAACTCCTCCTATCAGGTTGACCTTTTAGGATGGAACCTCGGGTGTTAACACCTTCCAATTTACTCACTCTGCCGCTCGTGCTGGGCGCCTTGTCTTTTAGAGGTGGATACAAGTCTCCACTCTATGTATAGATGATCCTTGATAGGGCATTTTCCAGAACCAGTCATATTTTCCATTGAACTACTCAATATATGAAGATTTTTTGTCATTCATCACGACTATTCTACTCAATGCCAAAACACTGAAATGAGTTTCTTTTATGAAATTCGAAGTTCCTTTGATGAAAGAAATGAAATACGAAGTCTGGCTGTTGGAGCACTGCTGACTTGCTAGGCTTAGATTTTTATAGGTATTTTCTAGAAATTTATAATCAATATGAGAAGTTTGTATATAGAAATTAAGAAATGCAATCTCCTAAGACCTAAAGGAACAATACTAGAGGTAACATTATTGACTCTTTCAGTCATAAAATGGCTCAAATGAATATAAGTAACATTTCTATCAACGTGTTCTAGACATTTTTTCCTTGTTCCAAAACAAAAGACATTTTAATACATTTTGAGATTGCTAAACCGGCTAACATATCTATCCAGTTAAATTTCAGTCTTAACTAATTCAACTACTTTAATTAAAATAGACACAAGCTCTTAATTCTTTCATTTGGCCATGAGACTTTTAGCAGTGAAGTTTTTTTAAAATATTTTTTCAATAACATTCACATGAATAATCCAACATATATGAAAATTGAAAGTTGATTCCCAAGAGGAGAGTCCAACAATGCACCTGGAGAATTTGACTATTGAAATCGAAATGAGAAACTATATTCACAACCCTTTTTTTACTAAACACAACCACTTTATTAAATAATAATAATAATAATAATAAATTAAAATGTATCAATTATCTATATACTACCTCCGTTCTCTTTTACTTGCAACCAATGTTCTAAAAGGCGCTAGGCACTAGTCGGGCGCCAGCTCAGCGCCTAGCGCCTAGGCGGCTAGGTGGGCGCCTAGTCGGGGACTAGTCGGAGATATAGAAATTGCATTTTTATCTATATTTTTGCATAAATATGATAAGTAATATTGTATTTTTGTGTGTATAAAATACATATGTACATATACATTAACAAATTTGAATGATAGAATTATCACATTTAATCATACGTAGTATATGATAACTAATCACTTAACTTCATTATGTTATAAATATAAATAACGATAAAATTTATGTATATATACAAACACATATAGTTTTATCTTAATTTAAAACTTCATTTCTTTATATCCATGACTAAATTTAAGGTACGTATATCGTTTAGAAAATTAAAATTAAAAAGTGAAGTAATGTTCGGCGAATCTAGACGGCCTAGGTGGCCGACTAGGCGCTCTAGGCGGGCAACTATGCGCCATAGGCGGCCGACTAATTCACCTAGACGGAAAACCAACTAGTCAGAGCGCCTAGACGAAAATCGGGGCGCCCGATCACCACCTAGCGCCTAGGCGGGGACTAGTCGGGCGCCTAGAACGATTTTTAGAACAGAGCTTGCAACATTGAAATTTTTGCACTATTCACATATTTTACTTTGACTATATTTTATTAATTAATGTATTATAAATTAATTTTAAAAAAAATATTTTTAAATTCTTCTCATTCTAAATTTTCAAAATATGAATTTTTTAAATTTTTTACTAATAACGAATGAAAGATATGAATGGTCAAACTTGTGCGTTGGTAAACGTGAAATGTTGACTGTTGCAAGTAAAAGAGAACGGAGGAAGTATATTCTATAGTACCCTTACACCGATAATAACCATCCGTTAAGTGAATAAATGTAGGGCGGTAAGGTAAGGCAACTTTCCAACCTCAAGCATCGCAACTATCTCTCTCCCAAAACGTGATGCAATCTCAAATTTGTCTCTGATTTCAGCAACAACCTCTTGAATCCCTCTTTTTCTTAAATTTATTATTCATCTTCTTCACCTCAGATTCATCCATGAATTCTCGGTTTTTGTTTCATCCTCCAAATCAGGAACCCCCTCCCTCTATATCACTTCATCCAAATCGGGACTGCTACAGGTAGATCCCAGGGGTGGAGACAAGGAGGGGCTGGAGGGGGCCTCGGCCCCTGCAAGGAAAAAAATTCTTAAGTATATATTATGCATAAATACGTTTAATCTATAGAAAATATGTTGATATTTTACACTTTGGCCCCTGCAAAGTAAAATTTTCAAGAACCGGCCCCTTTAACTATAGACTTCTGGCTCCGCCACTGGTAGATCCCCATACACATGGCTTCCTTGAAGCACGTAACTGGAGTACGGAGTACCCCTGGTCAATTCAATCAAATGGATTCAATAAGTCCCAAAGACCCGTCAGGAGGAGGTGCAGTCTCATCTTCACGTGTGGGCTTCTTCGCCTGAATCCTCCTACTCTCACTGTTATATGGACCTACTGGGTGGATGTCCAAAAGAACCCGTCCATTCTTATTTGAGGAGCTCCAATACTCATCCTATGATCCGAATATCTAGTAGACAAAACATTCATGGGAAAGACATATCAATGAGGGATAGTAGATTGACGACAGACACAAAGAAGAGGCGGCGGCAAGCTCCTCGTCCACGAAGCGGCGAAGGGTTTTCCCAATGTCCTTGAGGTAGTGGAAGTACGAGACATGTGTGGCGAAGAGGTCATAGCGGTAGTCTGCCTCGGATGCGGAGCCTCTACAATACTTCAAAGCAAGGCACCGTGCCTGGCTTTCGGGAACCACCCGATCAAAAAGTGGACGGTCGGAGATTTCAACGCACAGATCCCAAGGCCTTCTCTTCTTCATCGGACGGACCACTGCGCGCAAGGCACTCTGCCATGCGGCAGAGGATCCGATTCCGTCTGCGGCGACCTTGATAAGATTCTTCTTCTTTTTTGGAAAATTCATCTGTTTAGGAAATGTGGGTGCGTGTTAAGTAAGAAATGGGTTGTCAATAGAAGACAGAAATTTATGGTCGATCCAAATTCCAAATACAACAGGAAACAAGGCTGACGAAATTGAAATGGCAAGACCGAAATGAGGCTTTCACAAATCACCTTAACCTCATGAATTCCACACAACACATAGTCATCATGGCTTAATAGAAGAAAAGAAAAAGAATTAAGAAACCAAGAAAGATTATGAAACTGATGACTAGTAACAAGGTCAAATTATCCACACTAGTAGTTCAACGGTTGCTTAAGGAGGTTATTGGGTTAAGGATTTTATTCAAATTCTAATCACAACAGTGCAGAAGTTTCATCCAATGTGGTGACTTCTTATACACACCGACCAAGTTTCCTAAGGGTGAACTGGGCCCAGACGGCCCAACCCGGACCGGTACTGTTTGGTATCAACTCGGGCCCGGTTTTCCGATACCGGCACCGGCCTTGTACCCGGACCGTGGTTGAATATGAGCGGGCTTCAGGATTGAGTTTTGGGGCCCGGTCCAGGCCAAACAGCTAGAATTTAAAATAATAATAATAATAATGAATGGGTGCCGACCCGGTCTTGACCCAGGACCAGTACTGTTTGGGCCCGACTTAGCTCGATTCCACCCATAACCTTTCAGAGAAACTAATTTATGCAAAGTCACTTGTGAGACTATCATATAGGGTAGACCCAATTCGATCCTTGTTCTAGACAGACTAGTTTTGGTCACGAGCTAGAGACTTAACTCGGTACAAATAAATGATTCTAATTTTCCGATCAGTTTCAACCTTGTTCAGAATCTAGTCAATTTAAAAGAACACGACCTAAACCAAGCGTGAACTCGGGCCGGGCCGGGTCCGGGTCGGGCCTAGGCCCAGGCGGACGGGCGGTTCAGAATTGGTGGACCCAGGACCGGCCCGGGTAGCCACCGGGTCCGGTCCATGTCCAGGCCGGGCCGGGCTGCCGGTTTTGATAATATTTTTTTTTGCTTTCTTAACCCCCCCCCCCCCCCCAAACCCCTCCTAACCATCAAGCCCAACCCGAGTGGAACCCCAAAAATGAAAAAAAAAAAAAAAAAAAAAAAAAAAGAAGAAGAAAAAAAAAATTGGCCCGGACCGGGGCCCGACCCGGCCGGGCCGGTTCGCCAATTGTAAGACCCAACACCGGACCCCCCGGTCCTAGGCCCAACCCGGACCCGGACCCGAGTCCCGCACAGTAGCGGCCCCCCGGGCCGGTCCCGCACAGTAGCGGCCGGGTGGCCCAACCCGAGTCCACCACTAACCTAAACTTGTCTGATTCTTTTTTGGGGGCGAAGTTGGAAACACTCTAAACTGGGACCCACAAAACTATTCCCATCTCACATACTCACATTGGCTGAATTGTAATTTAATTTTAATGGAAGCCCACTGAAATTTTGGAGCTTTTTTCTAAATTAATGCTAAATAAAAAAATACTCCCTCCGTATCAGATATATCTTCCCACTTCCAAAGTGGGTGAGATTAAGAATAGTGAAAGGGGATATAAATTATTGAGGGTATGATGGGAAAATAGTGAAATAATGTGATGGAATGAAGGATAAATCCAAAAAAAGTAGGTGTAATAGTGTATTATTTTTTAAATTATTGAGGGTATGATAGGAAAATTTAGAAATGGGAAGATATAAATGTTACATCCAAAAAAGGAAAGTGGGAAGATATGAATGTTACGGAGGGAGTAATAACATAACTGATGTTGGGTTAATATTATTTCCCATTATAGTGCTGCACAAACTCTAGTTAGGGGATGCACAACCTACGCATGAATGGTGACCAAAGGCGCATCACAAATAGGAGGAGAGGACTGTAGGACCCAATAAAATGAAAAGTCTCATTTTTCTTAAAAATGTTGTAACTTTTGAATTTTTACTCCAATTGTTATAAAAAATATATCATAATTCATAACTTTTTATTATCTTTCATATGACACCATTATTGCATATATAAAAATAAAAAATAATTTAACACTTTAAAAATATAATGTTTTTTAAAGTATTGCAACTTTTTAATTTGTATCCCAATTGTTTTAAAAATAAGGAGTGTATCAAAACTCAAAATCTTTTATTATCGTTCGACACTAATATTTATAGGTAAAAATAAAAATAATTAGGCACTTTAAGAATTGTTTTTTTAGAGTGTCATACCCTTTTTTGTTCTCCGAGAATCTAAAAATATATTTCAGGTATATCAAAACACATAACTTCTTATTATCTTTCATGTGTCACTAATATTTCTTATACAAAATAGAAAATAATTTAGCACTTTAAAAAATTTCAATTTTTAAATTGCTATAATTCTTTTATATGTACTCTAACGGTTAGTTTGTTACAAATAATATACGGAGTATCAAAATTCATTACTTTTTATTACATTTCATATGATACTAATATTGTACGTAAGTTTAAAAATAAAATCTTTCTAATTCATTGGGCATGTTTGGCATTGGGCGAGAATGCTAAAAAGGATAAAATTGTCATTTTTGCTAAAACCTCACTATCTGGAGCCCCCATTGTACTTTCAGTTAAAAATGGCAATTTTTTTAAAGTTTATGAAGCTTCATCTATTTAAAAAAATCATTTAAAAATGCAATATTAGTTTCATATGCAATGCAATAAAGAAGTTATGTATGGGTGAGTACGGATCTAGAATTTCTTGTGCCGCACCAAGAATTGTCCTGAACTGTACCATAATCGAACGAGTTGGAAAAATAATACTACCTCTGTCCCATAATGGTTGTCTCATTTCAATTTGACACAATTATTAATTAAGTGGTTAAAAGGTAAAAGTTGTGGTTAAGATTTGAGTAGAATAATGTGAAATGATATGGACCATAAATTTCTTTCCAAAAGAGAAACATGACATCCATTTTAGAACAACCCAAAAGAAAAGTAAGACAACCAAAATGGAACGGAAGGGGTACTTAAGAAGCATATCCATCCATACCGAAAATTGGTACAGGACGGGACATGTTCTATATACTATCTATATTCGAGACGGTACCAGTTATTTAATTTTTAAAAGAACCGTACTTTGGAACGAGACTTTTTAAAATAATCGTCTCATAGTGTCCAATGCTCTCCCCTAAATTAAAAAGTTATTTCAATTTAAATATTGAGGATTTTTTTAAAGTGCTAAATTATGTATTTATATAAGAAAGATTAGTGGCACATTAAAAGTAATAAGAACTTATGAATTTTAATATTTTTAAGAGAAAGTTCCCGAAATAGGACCAAAACAATTTGGAAATTCCAAAATAGGACTGTCATGTTTTTTATTCCCAAAATGAGAGTAATTACTGTCAAGCATTGTTCTAAAAATCGGCCTAGGCGGACCGATTAATCGGCCTAGGCAGCCTAGGCGGCCCTAACCGTAGAGTCCTAGTCGGTCTAGTCGGCCAAAAAATCGGCCTAGTCGACCGAAAAATCGGCCTAGTCGGCCGCCTAGGCGCTAGGCGCCCCTCTACCGCCCGACTAACGCCTAGCGAGTTTTAGAACAATGCTGCCAAGTTTGGAAAATACTGCCATGTTTGAAGTCTGATACTGCCAAAACGTGACAGTAATTAGTCCTATTTTAGGAATAAAAACATGACAATCCTATTTTGGAATTTTCAAACTTTTTTAGTCCTATTTCGGGTAATATCTATATTTTTAAAGACTATCAGAGTGTAAAAAAACGTACGGAGTTTAACACTCTAAAAAACGGACTTTTTAATGTGCTAAATTATATCTCTATGTTTGCCAATGAAGTATCAGTGTCTTATGAAATATAATAAAAAGTTATGAATTTTGATATATTTTTTAAAACAATCAGAGTGCAGATAAAAAAATTACGGAGTATACGGTATACCACTTTAAAAATACTACCTCTGTCCCATAAAATTCTTCTCACTTTCCTTTTTGGGCCGTCCCAAAAAATTCTTCCTACTTTCCTTTTTGGACAATTTGTGTGGTTCACTTTCATTTCACATTTTTCTTACACAACCACAACCACATATTTCCATTTTATTCCACTTTCTTAATCTCCGTGTCAAGTCAAAGTGGGAAGAATTTTCTGGGACGAAGGGAGTAAATTTTATTAAAATGCTAAATTATTTTTTAATTTTTATATATTCAATCTTTATGTCATATGAAAGATAATAAAAAATTATGAATTTTGGTATATTTTTTATAAATGTTAGACAAATAATAAAAAAGTTATAAACATTTTAATACTAGTAATAAAGATGTTTTTTCTAAATATGGGTCCCACTTGCCTTCTCTTCCTTAGTCCATACGTACGGCTGCTTTCAATATAACCAAAAGCCGCATGACGTTTTTGTTTAACCATGGTTCTAAGTAGCAGTAGTTTGGTAAATGTTGTGGTGGTTGTAGTTTCCCACCTATTTAAGCATTGATTATGCTTGAAGTTATAGAGAAATCTATTCCACTCATTTGAGTATATGGAATAATAGATGTATGATCTGAGTTCCTCCACAGAAAAACAAAATCAATGAACAATAATAACAATATACCACCCTTGGTGTCAAAAACTTTGGAAATGGCTCAGAGAAGAGAAGCAAAAACAGGTATCTTGGACATTAACTTTGAAAGTTCAAATTTGTTTTATAATTTTTGAGTGTTCATATACATATATTAAATTTTGCACTGATATAGGTCTGCCACTTGGTGCTCCTAGAAGTAGTTTGAGAAACTGGGGAAGACCAGCTTGGGGTCGACTAAGATGAATCCATACATAGGAATAATAATTAATAACAATCTACAAAATCAAGACTGACTCCAAGCTCCAGTGCTATAAACAAAACAATCACTCAATATGTACAACAATAAGATACAAAGTAGTACTCTACGAGTATACAACTTTTGAACAAATTAGCTGTGTACGAAAAAAGTAATGAGCACAATAATATGGTACATCATAAGACAAACTACATCTACCAAAAAATTGTCCACAAAAAAAAGTCAAGAGTAATGTGACAATAATATCCAAAGTCCATTAAATCACGCCATTTAACTCTTTTGTGGACAATTTTTGTGGATCCTAAGCATTGAACTAAGATGCACAATGTGACATAATAATAGGCAGGGGAAGTTTCCAATTTTCTCCTCGTCCTCATATATATACCCTAAAACCAAGAAAAATATGAGGAGCTTCAAAAAAAAAAAAGAACTATACTTCTATGACAGTATGGCCTAATTTTGTCTACAATAAACAAATTGTCTGTAATGCACCTGGCACTGGCTGGAATCATGTTAGGGTCACTCCAGCTTAGCAATCCCAAGGGGCTTTTAAGTCTCACAAAATACAAAAGAGACAGGGTGGTTCACACTACACTACACCACACATAAAATTCATCTTTCCCCTTTTATCCACAAAAAGGAGGTGTGGTGGTGGACCCAACCCCAACTAAAAAATAATAATTGGGTTTAAACCCTTTTTCTTTTTGACACAAAAGCATGAGAAAACAAAAGTTTTGGCAGACCATAATTTGCTGTCTGCCAAGAGGACTGAAAGGACATTTCACATCTAGGATCCCCCCATTCTACCTTCATGTCCTTTGCTATGCAGAGTGATACAAGAAATGATCTTGTTGCCACTGCCACTGGACTTCCCATAGATTATAGTCTGAAATGTCAAAAGAAAACAAAATAGAAAATGGGTTACAGAATAATTAAATAACTCCAAAACAGCTTGAAGTCAAAGGGGTAGAAATATAAAGTTACCACTATAATCTTCTTGGATAGATGGTGATGTGAAGCATATATATATTCAAACAAGGCACCCATTTCTCAGACGAAGATCAATGTTTCTTAGATCACGAAGGTGTTGAAGGATTTCTTGAAGAAGATCCATCCCCTTATCCCCTTTCTTCAATGAGTTTAAGCAATTCTTTAAAAATTCTCTATCGGCCTCTAATGCTTGAAGCCTCTCATGCAAACAATCTAATTCCTCTTCAACGGCAGCCCTTTTGTTGCTTAAATCATAATTATCCGCTACATTTGGATCATAATCTCCATTATCATCACTAACGGCATCAAAGAGTGGGAGTAGACTCTTCCCCACTGAGCTCAAGATTTTCGATTCGTCCATTTCTTCTTTAGCATAATAATCCCCATTGGTCTCTCCTTTCAAACCTTCTATTCCTTTCAAACCTTCTATTTCCCTTTCTTCTTCATGGTCCATGTTGATCATCTTTACCTCTAGTGCTTTTAGTTGTTCGAGAATAGCCACTCGCTCATCCTCAAAGTCCAAATCTAGAACTCCGTCGACAGGTGTGTTGTCAACCCCCTCTTGCTCTTTGACTTCTTGATTATTATTACTATTAAGATCAAGCGATATTCCATCACCTTCCTCACTATTACTACAAGAAACGGATGAAAATGCGCTTCTAGCACTACTCCCACAGTCTTTGCTTCTCCTCAAAATGGCTGCCATCTTCTCTTTAGACTCATATTCAAACACCTTTTTCTTATAAATCTCCAATTCTTTCTCCACCTCTTGTCTTTCTTTATCACGCTTAACCATAAGCTCATTTAAGAGCTGTAAAGCTTCTTGGTCATACTCCGCTTGCTCGTCCATCATTCTTTGATACTGAAGAGCCTCCATCTGGACAGTTGCCTTCTCTTCTTGAAGCCGGTTGATCATAGCCATTGTTTGGCTAGCTGCTATGGCAGAAGCACTCCTCTCTTCTTCCAGCTCTGTGTATAAAGCTTGGAGAGCCTTCTGTCCGGATTTCAAAGCTGATCTTAACCACTCGATTGTTGAGATTGGATCAGAAAGGTCCATTTCACTCATCACACTCCCATCCAGTGACCCTTCGTTCGCAAATTCTGTTGCTTTTTCTTGATCTTGTTTACAACCTAAGATTTGAAACAGACACATTGTTACATCCAAGTATCCAACTGGTTTTAAACTTAACAGAAAACCTACTGCTGCTAAATTTAGGATATTGAGGATAATCTGTTCAATCCTACCGTGGTCGTGATGAAAGTGTGGAGCATTTGCACAGCTAGTGGAAGGACCTTCTTTGTTAGAATTGAGGTCATCTGCAATGTCCAAATCGGGAATTTCAGTGCCGATTGAGACTTCAACTTCTGTTTCATTCACTTGCATTTGTGAGCTTTCTTCAGAAACTACAAGTAATATTTGATAATAAGTTACAAACGTGAAGTTGCATTAGTGGAGTAAGTAGCATGAATGGTACCAGACGTGGTGGATATATTATTATTGCATTGTGGCACCTCTGAATGAAACAAACAAGGACTCTCTGAATATATTCAAATGTCTGAGTTGTCGGTTCCATTTGAGAAGCAAACAAGTACCCGAAATATATTTAAATGTTTGAGTTGACAGTACCATTTCAAATTCGTACCAAAATCATACAACATGCAGGCTGCAGCCTGAATTCCATGTAGATCTTCCAAAAAAAATGTCAAGAAAAAAAATACTTCACATAATTTGTATTATCAAACTCATATTAGTTTGACCAATTCAGAAAGAAACGAGATGTGTAGCCAGTCTAGTCGGTACAACATATAAAAGTTGCTATGAAACGAGATGTGTAACCTACTCAAATTGGTTGAAAAATTAATGAACTTATTTTTTTGTGAAATACAAACGAAATTGAGGCTATGAAGTACGAGTATTTCAGCTAAAAACATCAAATGGGATCATCCTGGGATAATGAAATATACTTAAGGTTTGGATTTGCTTCATTCAAAAGTAGAGTTACCAAAATGCATCCATACAAATAACTGTGGAACCATTTAAATATTTACCCCTGCATTTGTGAGTCTTATTTACAAACTAAAAACATTACGAAAGATCACACTAACTTAATTCTGAGCACACTAACACTAACTTGCATCTGTACTAGTCAGTGTTGTTGTAGGGGAAAATAGATCAGCTGTACTAGACCTGATATTGTTCTTTACAAAAACCAAGTTAGAAAATTGAAAGGATCAGCTGACTTAGGCCTGACATTGTTCTTTACAAAAACTAATTTGCAAAATTGAAGGGATAAATCAAATTGTACCTGAAGAGGTATAAGAAACTTGTTTCACTTGGGGTTCTTGAGAGTCCAAGATTTGAACTTTATTGTTTTGGGTGGATTCATGGCCCTCTCTTTCTGAGAAGCAGTCCTTAGCATGAAAAACCAAAGAATTCTCATCTTCTTCAATCTCCATAGACTTGAACACTGCAAATTTATGTTCTTTGAGATCATCAGTTCCAGTTCCATCTTTGACTTCCAGTTCCTCTTCTTCTGCAGTAAAGTCAACTGGAACTAAATCGTGCCCGCTCGAATCTATGAAGAACTCGAGATGTTTGGGGGGATCTTCCATTACCCTTTCTGGATTCACCTCTACAGTCCCATTTGCAAGAGCCAGACCCTCCTTTTCATCAAAAATCACTTCATTCTCAACCCTAATAGCTTCAAACCCTGATTTTTCTTCAATTTCTATACTTTCCTCCTTGATCAACGGATTACAGGAAGATTTGATCACAATATAATTGGCACCCTCCTTCACCAAGCTCACACCACAACAAGAACACGTCTCATCCCCGCCATGGATCATCTTCAGTTCATTCACCAAAGGAAATATCCCGAAACCTAAGCATTTCCCACACATGCCCTTCGATTCAGCCAGTCTGTGATGGGTCTCGCAAAATCCCAGCTCGGAGACCTCTCTGGAATGGGATTCGCACAAAAGATCTATGTGTTTTCTATTATCCCCTGCTTTAAACAGAGGATCGAGGTTAGAGCACCAGAAACACGGCGGTTTGAGGCCAAAGTAGTCTGCAAACTTGGTGATCATGTACGACAGCAAGGAATTGAGGAGGAGAAGGAATATAAGAGTCCATTCCAGGACTGCATAGGTGAGAACCACTGTGATCTTGTTCGTATTCTTCTGTAACATGGTTGCAAACTTGTTGGCCGCCATTGTTGATGCTCTGTTTCTTGAAAATATATACAGTAGCAAGCGGGCGGTGGTGGGAGTGCCTGGGAAGAATTTGGAAGAGGTTTTAGAGAGAGAAAGAGAGGAGGGGAGAGGGAAAGGGGGAGGAAGAAGGAGAAGTGTTTTCCAGGTTTGGACTGACAAGAAAGAGATATGGGGGGCTGGGTTTGAATTGACATGAGAAGCCAAAGGAGACGACAATCATTACAAACTAATGCACTGCTGTTGGAAAATACGGATTGTTAAAAAAAACGAAGTACTCGCCATATTACTTGGGAATGAGGTTTTTTAGGAAATGAGGTTTTTTTTTTAGAATTTATTGAGTGGTAAGAAAGTTGAAAGATTGTCCAAAGGTCATTTGTGTTGGACGTGACCTTTAATGAACACGAGTACAAAATATATCATCATTGAACTGAGTCACTATGATTTACAATTCACAAACGCCTTGTCAGGTCGGGGAAATGATTGGAAATGAGATTTTTACCTACTTTCATTGTCCAATTTTAAACGGTGGGTCCAAATATTTACAAAAAATTATCATATACTATCTTCTTTCTATTTCATGTGTCCTACTTGAGTTTGACATAATTATTAATTATTAATAAAGTGATTGTAAAATTAAAAATTATAGTTGATATTCGAGTATAATAAAGTGAAATGTTGTAGACCATATATTGTTTTAAAAAGCAAATAATGTGACACTTATTTTGGGATAACACAAAATATTAGGTAGGTCAGGTAAAATTGAACGAGGGAGTACAACACTATGTAATGTAACTAATGTTGAGGCATATTACTCAGGCTTACTACAGTTTAGGGGCTCAAGCAAATTTTAGACTAGGATATACTCGAGTATGGTAGATGTGTTACAATATTTAATTGTGACTAGGATAGACATTACTTATGCAATCCACTTTTTTTTACAAGAAAAACTCAATTCATTTCATCATTAATAATGTTTAGGATACAATGTGGAACAATAGTGAAAATTCTGTTAGGAGCGTGATTAGTAGCCGCCTTAGCCAGGACGTGAGCGCTACTATATGCTTGCCGTTTAGTAAAAATAAATCTAAAGTTACTATTTGAAGCTAAAAGTATTTTGCAATCCTCCACCAATGAGCCATATTCGGTCTGATTAGGACGGTTAAGGCACACATCTTCTACAAGCTGCTTACAATAAGTGTAACACCCCGACCCCACCAGACCCGAGGTAGTTACTCTGGACCAATAGTAGTGTCCTCACAAACCACCACAAGCCTTTACCGCGCACTTTGTCCTCACTCATGTGCGCCTGAGAAACTTCCCAGGGGGTCACCCATCCCAAGACTACTCCCGTGCAAGCACGCTTAACTTTGGAGTTCTTGGTGATGAGCTCCCTTAAAAGGAGATGCACCTCTGTTGGTATGAGTAGTACTATTAATCCATTTATATTAAATCTCAAGTGTTACAATCACCCCCACTTAGGATCGCAACGTCCTCGTTGCGCCCTTGAACCAATCTCAAATCTCAATCAAATCCCAGAATCTTCCCCCACTAAGTGCCCGCCCGATATCCAACGGGTCATCACACTGTCGCGGGGTTGCTCTGATACCACCTGTAACACCCCGACCCCACCGGACCCGAGGTAGTTACTCCGGACCAATAGTAGTGTCCTCACAAACCACCACAAGCCTTTACCGCGCACTTTGTCCTCACTCATGCGCGCCCTGAGAAACTTCCCAGGGGGTCACCCATCCCAAGACTACTCCCGTGCAAGCACGCTTAACTTTGGAGTTCTTAGGGATGAGCTCCCTTAAAAGGAGATGCATCTTGTTTTGGTATGAGTAGTACTATTAATCCGTTTATATTAAATCTTAAGTGTTACAATAAGATTCAAACAAAACATGCTTGTACCGAGTACTATCCATCCATTTAATAGCTTCTCTAAGGCCCCATGCTTCTGCCTCTGCTGGACACAAATCCGATGTACATATAGCTGTTTTAGCCATATAAAACTGCCCACGATAATCCCGAACACATGCCCCGAATCCAACTCGCTTCTCATTTGCCAAGAGAGCGGCATCGACATTACACTTCAAGTAATTACGAGGAGGGGGCTGCCACCAGACTTGAATCAAGCTGCTGGTCAGTAGCTTTTGGGTGCTAATCCTAGCTCTTTCCTAGAAATGCAGCAGTTCACTCCCACGAGAGATAACTTGGTGTGTGGTCTCCTGGATGCCTTCCTAGCACATCTTATTCCTCTTCTTCCATATGCTCCATAAAGTCATGCTAAAAGCTTTTAATTTATACTCTGGAAAGGTTTGAATGATGCTCATGAAAAACTCACAGAAACTTTCAGGTGTTGTCATAGTTGTTGCCATTTCATTCCATAGCCCTAATTGCTGCCAGCATTCCACGCTATCCGGGCAAGAAAGAAACGTGTGCCATGTATTGTCTGGTGCGTTGCAGCAAATGGCGCATTCTCCTGGGCAAACTACACCTTTATCTTGTAGCTTATTTCTGGTCGGAATGCAGTCTCGTCCAAGCCTCCACAGGAAGGTACGAACCCTTGGTGGGACTACCAGGGACCATAGTTTATGCCACGGGCCTTCTTCTTTGAGATGATTCGTACCCACCAACTGGTCCATGCACACCCTGTATGCACTTCGAACGGAAAATCTTCCTTCATTTGTGAATCGCCAAAATGGACTATCCTGCCGATGCAACCTCATCAACGGAAGAGCTAGTATTTCATTAACATCACTGTGATTAAACACGCTTCTTATGAAGCTCTCCTTCCATTTGCCTCCATTTCTGTCAATTAATTGGGCAACTCGTAACTCACTCATTGTGGGCACAAGCTGAGTTTGAATACACGAGTCCTCCCCATTCCGAAGCCATGGTTGACCCCAAACACAAATCCTTTCCCCATCACCCACAATCCAACGGAATCCTTCCTTGACCAAAATTCGGGCCGACCAGATGCTACACCATGTGAAACTAACATTATGGCCAATGCCAGCCCCAAAGAAATCCCCTTTAGGGAAGTATCTTGCTTTGAAAACACGTGTAACCATAGCATCTAGGTCAGAAATAAATTTCCAACCTTGTTTCCCGAACATGGCCAAGTTGAAACCGTGAAGGTGCCGAAATCCCATTCCACCATCTGCCTTCCTGACTGTCAGCTTTTCCCAACTTAACCAATTGATACCTCTGCCACCTCTTGTACCTGAGCCCCACCATAATGAATTCATCATCCTATCAAGCTCTTCTTGGAGAGTACTAGGTAACAAAAAAACGCTCATACAATAAGTGGGAATAGCATGCAACACTGACTTGATTAGCACCTCTCTTCCAGCTTGGGATAATAATTTACTACTCCAGCTAGACACCTTACTCCATATTCTATCTTTAACATAATTAAAAACCACCCTCTTATTTCTGCCAACCATGGAAGGAAGGCCAAGATACCTCCCAGAACCCAAGCTCATCCTGACTCCAAAAATGCCTGTAATCTGGTCCTTCACTGGTGCTTCAATATTTCTGCTAAATGTAATTTCATATTTTTGAAAGTTTATGTGTTGACCGGAGGCCAAAGCATAAATGTCCAAAATGCTATGAAGGTGTTGAGCTTCTGCCTCCGTTGCACGAAAAAAGAGGAAGTTGTCATCCGCAAATAAGAGATGAGTAATTGTCGGAGCTCGTCTACATACCCGGATGCCATGTAACTCCCCTCTTCTTTCTACTTGGCGATCTAGTGCCGAGAAGCCCTCAGCACAACTTATGCAATCCACTTAGTGTCTCAATTTATGCATGAATTTCATACTACTCATCTTTTGGTTGTCAAAAGAACTTTCAGATATTTACAGTGCACGATAGATCATGGTTTGTTGTTTCACTCTTCTGCTCAGCATACATGCATTTTGGCTTACTCTGATGCGAATTGGGCTGGATGCCCAAATACCTCTCGCTCTACCACTGCATTTGTTGTGTTTTGGGACCCAATCTTGTCTCCTGAAAATCCAAGAAAACGCTTAATTGCGGTCTACAAGTCCTCTATTGAAGCAGAATATCATGTCATTGCATACAGTGTTCAGGATACACTTCATAATATTCGCTCAATCCTTTATGAGCTCGACTTCGCTATTTCCACACATGTGCAATTGTTTTGTGATAATATTTATGCTTCTTATTTAACTATTAATTTTGTTCAGTATGTTCCCACTCATCTCCAGTTGGCTGATATTTTTATCAATAGTCTTTCTGGTAAGCAATTTCATTTTCTTAAAGACAAATGCGTGTTGTATCTTCCGCACGAATTGAGGGGGTGTAGTAATATTATATTAGGGTTACTTGTGTACTTTTTACATTATTCTCTACTAATATAAATATAACCCTCGTGACCCTCATTAGGGCAGCATGTTCTATTATTCCACAATTAGCTGGTTGTGACAGCAACTTCTTAATAGCTGGTGTGTTAGCTGTTTTAAGCCGTTGTACATGTTAGTTGATCATAAATAATTACTCCGTATTTGGTAAAATTGGTTGTTCTTTAATAGTTGATAGTGTATAAATAAAGACACGTAAATACACGAAGATACTTGGCGTATTTTATTATTGTGAATGATTGAAAATGTTATAATTATTGTTACTTCAAGAATATAAGTAATTCATATACATGAAATTTTTATTTTATAAAATAAAATCTATTTTAATATCAGAATTTATATATCCAGTGCTCATCATATTCAGAATTTACAAATTACTTTATTTTCGTTTCAATATGACTTTCAATATATTCTTAAATATGTAAATCCTAACGGGGTTATTCCCTAAATATTACTCCTATTAAATTAATGCTAATTTCTAAAAAGTAACCACTTTTACATCTGGACAAAAATGTGACTAAAATAAAGTGACAAATCATATATTCATGTCACTAAGTCATTTTCATGTCACTATCGGATGTCGTTGCCACTATCGCTCGTGTCACTGCCGCCGCCACCGATGGCCACAGTGACACCTCCGTAGTGACAACTCCACAATGACATTCATGTAATGATATCTCCGCCCAAGTCTGGCGGCAGTGATATCTCTTTCGTCCGGCCACCACCGCCGACACCCACAGTGACACAAAAATACTCCGGCCACCGCCCTTTGGTCAGTTACCACCGCCTCCCCGCCGGTGACCATGCACCACACCCAGTCCCTGCCGCACTACCACTTCCCTTGACCTGCCCCTAGCCATACAC